TGTGTGAGTTCTCTGATGGTTCACCAGGACAGAATTCTGACTGAAACGTTTCCCACAAACAGGACATTGAAAGGGTTTTTCTCCTGTGTGAGTCCTCTGGTGTTTCACCAGGCTGGAATTCTCACTGAAACTTTTCCCACAATCAGGACATTCAAAGGGTTTCTCTCCTGTGTGAGTCCTCTGATGGCTCACCAGGTTGTAATTCTGACTGAAACGTTTCCCGCAAACAGGACATTTAAAGGGTTTATCTCCTGTGTGAGTCCTTTGATGTTTCACCAGGTTGGAATTCTGACTGAAACTTTTCCCACAAATCGGACATTCAAAGGGTTTTACTCCTGTGTGAGTCCTCTGATGGCTCACCAGGCGAGAATTCTGACCAAAACTTTTCCAACAAACAGGACATTTAAAGGGTTTCTCTCCTGTGTGAGTCCTCTGATGGTTCACCAAGTCAGAATTCTTACTGAAGCCTTTCCCACAATCAGGACATTCAAAGGGTTTCTCAACTGTGTGAGTCCTCTGGTGTCTTACCAGGCTGGAATTCTCACTGAAACCTTTCCCACAAACAGGACATTCAAATGGTTTCTCTCCTATATGAGTCCTCTGATGTCTTACCAGGCTGGAATTCTTACTGAAACCTTTCCCACAAACAGGACATTCAAAGGGTTTCTCTCCTGTGTGAGCCCTTTGATGACTTACCAGGCTGGAATTCTTACTGAAACTTTTCCCACAATCAGGACAATCAAAGAGTTTATTTCCTGTGTGAGTCCTCAGATGTATCACTAAGTTGTCATTTTTCTTAAAGGATTTACCACATTGGAAGCACTTGTAGGGCATCTCTTCTGGGTGAGTTCTTCCATGAATCCAAAGGGATCTGTTCTGATTAAACTTTTGCCACATTCAGATAATTTGTATGCTCTTTTCTCTGGAGTGGATTCTTTCCTGCATAATCACTTGTGATTTGAAGTCTGCATCTTCCATGATAGGCACACCTATTGAGCTTTTCCACCACTGATATTCTTGAGAAGGTCAACAATATGTGTACTCCCTTGTTTAGTGGTGCTTTGTTTTAAGCCCATTTCTTCCCCCAGGGCAATGCAAGGATTACTGTCTGTCCTATGTACCCATCCAATTAATCTTTTCCTTCCCACTAAGTTCCAGATATTTTCCTCTTTTTCTGAATGGAAAAATAATCTTTCTTGACCTATTTGTGTATTGTGTCCTTGAGTTCCACATACTCTCCTTTTTGCAGCATGAAATCTCGTATCAATTTTCTTTCTTTCGTCTGTCACCTTCTGTGGAAGGAGAAGAATTGTGTGGTTCTTCTGATGGAAATGGAGAATATTTTTATTTCTGCCTCAATTTTCTTTGCTTTTCAATATTGCTTGTTATTCTCAGTTGTCCAGTGTGGTCTTCTGGCATCATCTTTGTCTGTAAGATTCAAATGAAAACGTAGCTTTTATTGTTTATAAAAGGGTTGCAGAAAATGTGAAAAAGTGTACATTACAATGAAAAAGCAAACATGCCAATATGCTAGAATAACCTTACATTAATTATGATATTTACTATTGAGTTCCAGTTTAAATATCCATTCAATCATTAAATTCACTTGTTGACTTAGGTCAGTCACAAATTCTCAGCCCTGCAAAGGGTTATCATGAAATACAGTTATGTGAAGAAGGAAGTACACCCTCAATGTTTATGATTTTATATATCGCAACATAGTAAAAATAATCTTATTCTTAGCAGTTTAAAGATAGGTAGATATAACATCAGATGAGCAACAACAGATTATATATTATACCCATGTCATTCTTTTTTTTTTGCAAAAACAAAAACACTCTTATTTCTTCCATAGGTATGAAGAGATGAAGTAGCAGCCCTGGATCAATTGATCATCAACAAGTGTAACTATATCTATAAAGCTGAAATTGTTGGATTTTTCTGATCTCCAGCACTGAGGTGTGAAGTAGACCCAAAGAATAAAGACACCAGCAGGAATCTTAGAGAAACAATTGTTCCTGCCCATCAATCTGGGAAGGGTTATTAGACTGTTTCCAAACAATTTAAACTCCATCATTCTACGTTCTACATTCACAAGTGGAAAACATTCAAGACACTGGCCAATCTTCTCGTGAGTGGAAGTCCCAGCAAATTCACCTCAGATTCAGAACGTGCAATGCTCAATTAAAAGAATCCAAGCATTACATCTCAGGATCAACAGGCCTCATTGAGCATGTTAAGTGTTAATGTTCATGACAGTACAATTAGAAAAAGACTGGACAAGTATGGTTCTTTTGGGAGGGTTGCCAGGAGAAAACCTCTGACTTCTAAAAAGGGCATGGCAGCAATTCTTAGATTTGCAAATTTGCATCTGAACAAATCACAAGACTTCTGGAACACTGGATGAGACCAACATGGGGATGTTTGGAAGCAAGGAAGAAGGCAAGAAGTCCTGCAAACTCCAAACAGTGGCAACAGCACACAAAACTCCGTGTTTTTTTTTTCCTTTTACAAAGTTAAGCACAGTTGAACCTGGTTAATACACAGATGGGGCACGAATAGGAAATACAGTGCTTGTTGGCTACGCGTGGAAGTTAAAAAAAAAACATCTCAGAAGAGATCAGAAGAAGATCAGTCCGATATTGTTGCCAGGAAAACAGCAGGTCCATAAGAGAATAACAGTTGGAAGGGACCTTGGAGGTCTTCTAGTCCAATCCCTGCTCAGGCAGGAGACTTTATATCATTCCTGATTAATTGCTGTCCCGTCCCCTCTTTAAACCCTTCAATGGTGAAGAACTCACAACTTTTGGAGGCAAGCTCTTCCCAAGGAATTAAGCTTAATTTGAAGGAGGATTTTTAAAATCTTCCCACCAGCAGAAAATTGCAGCCACCACTGTTAAAGCTTGGAGCACCAGTGGACTCAAAATCTGGGGAGGGAAGGAACACGTAGCAGCAGCTGATATGCTTCAGCCTAGTTGCTTCTCTGCTTCCACATCCCGGAGAAAACCCAACAGCCCTACTTGCTCCCAGCCTCTCCTCCCACCTGACCTCAACTCACCTTCCAGCTGCTGCTTCCACCCTGGGAAGAGCAGAAAAACTACTCTGCACACCACCTTCTTTCCATGAGTGATCCGGAAGAAGCAGCTCCTCTCCTCCCATCCTTTCTAGCTTTCTAGCTCGATGGTTTTAACTCCTTTAAGCTCCACCACAGACGACCATTAAGGGCTTTCTAGTCACTGATAAGTGACTGCCATCTCCCGATAGGAGGCAAAAGAACACGGTCGTCTGTCTCTAACATGTTTGTAAGATGTTTTCACTGATTAAGTGCTATCAAGTCGTTTCCAGTCCTAGCAATCCATCTTTGCAACTGATCCATGTGAAATAATAAACTGTGACACAAAAGAGCCCTAAATGTTTATGAAGCTCTTACAGAATTTAATAGAGTTGGAAGAGACCAACTCCCCAAGCAGAGGACCCTATTCTGTTCCAGACAAATGGCTGCCCAATCCCCTCTTAAAAACCCCATTGATGGAGCACCCACAACTTGTAGAGGCAAAACATTTCCACTGATTGTTCTCTGAAAGGAAAATTCTTCTTGATTCTAGGTTGGATCGCTGTTCCTCTTTGTGCTGGTCTAAGGGGCATTGGAGAATAGGTCCACCCCCTTTTTTCTGTTTCAGCCCCTCAGATGATGTAACTCCAGACTTCTCTGTGTTAGACTAGATATATCCAGTTCCTGCAATAGTTCATTGTAGAACTACTTTGGAGTACAAACCAGAAATTACAAGAAAGAGGGTATGTTCTAAGTCAAAAGAAGAACATAGAACAATTCTTTAAAAATATGGATGGTTGTGGAAGTGTGCAAACTTCCAAGACACCAGATTAGCAAATCATCAAAAATAGAACAATCTGTAATCCGGAAATCTATCAGGCAGTCCTAGGAGATTTGTGATGAAGTATTTATCACATACTGTGGCCAAATATTACCAAATCAGTCAATATTTTAAACCACCGCACATTACAACCTACACAACAATGCTGGTTAGGAATTAAAAGGATACTGTGTTAACAGTTGCCATTTCCATAGCTACAGCGCAATTCATAGCATTCTCAGAATTGTGTTCAGAGATGACATGGTGAATATGGTTAATAAAGAATTTGGATATTGAAGAGAAAGGAGTTACAACAATATTTGAAGATAACACAACATGTATACAAATGGCAACAGGTGCGAGTAAAAATCAGAAAGAAGCATGTTGACATAAAATAATGTAATGTCAGGGAAGCAGGGAAAGAAAATGTAATAGACATAATATATTGTCCACCAGAAAATAATTTAGCTGACCTCATGACAGAACCATTAAGTATACCAAAAACATAAAGATCTTGTGAAATAATTTGGTTTCAATGCTGTCCAGCTATAAATTGGAGGGGTGTTAGGATATTAAATGTAGTAGCTGGAACAGAAACATTGTACAATGGGCAAGAACAGGAAGTTCTAAGTTGATTGGTTGGAGAGTGCTGGTTCCTTCATGAGGCAATCTACGCTATGATTGGTTGCTGTAGGTGTAAAGGGGGAGTTTCACATTTTTCCTGCTTTTTTTCCTTCTGTGTGCTCTGTATCCTATTTGGATTTACCTCGGGATGTTTGTGTGTTCCTGACCATCTTATTTGCTGTAAATATGCTAAATGTATTCATTCATATAAAACTACAAATTTACCTCAGTGTCTCTGATTTAATTTGGAAACTTGCTGCATAATTCCCTGACAGAGAACTGTCACTACTACATCCAGAAAATAAATCCATTTGCAATGGATGTCATTTGCTGGAAACATCACTGGGAGGGAAATAATTCTTTTCTTTTTTAAAAAATATATTTTTTATTAATTTTCTTTTTTTACATCGTAAAACATCATGGTATCAACAACGTTCTTGGCATCTATACAGGATTTTGGTTTTCAGTATCATAATACATTGTATTGCATTTGTATACTACTATATAATATATTTAACTATAATTACTATTCTTATATCTTTATATAATTTACAAAATTGTATTTTAGTTTCTTAAGGATTGTTTCAATTAACATTTTTGTCTCACTTCTTGGTTCTATTTGTTAGCCATTTATACCAATTGTTCCAAATTGTAAAGAATTCAGAGTCATCTTTTTCTTTCAATTTCATTGTTAGCATATTCATCTCAGCACTTTCTGTTACTTTGTGTATTATTAGTTTTTCATTAGGGGTATTTGGTGTTTTCCATACCTGCGCAAAGGCTATTCTGGCGGCTGTTGTAATATGTAACACTAAGTATTTTACTTCTTTTGGTAATCTTTCTTTGATGATTCCTAAAAGGAAGGATTCTGGTCTGAGCTCAATCTGATAGCCAGTAATCTCTTTTAACCAATTTTTAATTTGAATCCAGTATGTCCTGACCTCGGGGCACAGCCACCACATGTGATAAAATGTACCATCAACCTTTTTGCACTTCCAACATTTGGGACTCATGTTGGGGTAGATTTTTGCCAATCTCATTGGAGCTAAATACCATCTATAAAACATTTTATACATGTTTTCTTTGTATGCTACAGACAGCGTTAACTTATAATTTATGTTCTATATTTTCTCCCATTCCTCTAATTCTACGGTGTATCCAAAATTTTGTGCCCATGCAATCATTGTGCTTTTGACTATTTCCTTTTCCATTTTGAAATCTAATAAATATTTATACATTTTAGTTATAAGTTTTTGTTCTGGTCCCATTAATATTTTATCTAATTGGTTCTGCCCTTTGTCAAATCCTAAATCTTTTGAGTCTTTTTTATATTTATTTTGAATTTGCAAAAATGGCCACCAATTGATTATAATTCCATTTTCCTTCGGTTCTTGGTTTGATTTTAATTTCCCTTGACTTTCTAATAATTCTTCATAGCTTATCATTTTCTGTAGGTCTAATCTATTTGGATGTATTATGGCTTTCATGGTTGACAGCCATCGTGGGATTTCCATATAGTGTTTACCTATGATTTTTTTCCAAATTGTAATCAATGAGTCTCTTATTAGGTGTTGATTGAAATAGGTATATATATTACTTTTGTTTTCCACAAAAATACATACTAACCTATCAGGTGGTCATGTCGTCCTTATGTTCAGATTCTCTTGTCTCTTAATTTAACCCAATCCTTAATCCAACTCAATACCGCTGCCTGGTAATAAAGCTCCCATTCTGGTAGTCCAAGACCGCCTCTGCTCCTATTATCTTGTAATAGTTTCATTTTAATACGTGGCCGCTTGCCCAACCAGACAAACTTGGATGTCATTTTATTTAGTTCTGTAAAGAAATATTTCCCTAATTTAATTGGAATCATTTGGAATAGATATATTAGTTTTGGTAAAGTATTCATTTTCAACGTTGCTATTGTTCCTA